TCAAAATGAAAGCATAACTGTAAATTCAGACACGTGAGGTTGTGCTGCAAAGAATGATGCAAAACAAGGCAAATAAATAGTTTTTAAAGGTGAAATGTAGAGGGAAAATCAAAAGTGGTTAAAATGGCTAATTATACCCTGGACCCCAGAGGATTAAACTTTTTTTTTCTAAAGTAACACAATAGTTACTTTTCAAGTAATTAATTACTTTTAGAATCTTGTAGCTCAGTTACTTTTTTGAAGAACTAACTAGTAACTATAATTAATTACTTTTTAAAGTAACTTGCCCAACACTGGTCTCCAGTGATACTGGGTTAACTGTCAAAACTGATCCTATTATAAATGCAGAAAAGTCTGGTCATAGTTTGAGTCATCATACAATACCATGTGGAAAGTATCTGATTGGCAGTGGCTTAATTTTCAGCATGACAATGACCCCAAACACTCTGTCAGTGCAGAAAAGTGTACCTGACTAGAAAAAACACTCAGTGGAACACTATCAATCATGGATTGCCTTCTCCAGAACCTGGACCTCAACATTATTGAATGAAGTGTAGATCATCTTGACAAAGAATAGAACAAAAGGCAACCATCATCCAAAGAGGAGCTTTGAATGTCCTGGGAGAACTATTCCTGAAGACTACTTAGAGAAACCACAAGAAAACTTGCCTAAGAGAGTTCAAGAATAGAGGTGTTCATACCAAATATTGACTTTAATTGACTTGCTAGAATTGTACAAACTTTGTTTCTGCCTGTATTTCCATGGGTGTGCATGTTTAAATAAATCACTGCATCCCTTTCCTCTTTCGCATCCCAGCAAAAAACAAAATAAGGGAGGCTTGAGACACTTGCACAGTAATGTAAATATGGAGAAATAACTAACCTCAATGTTTGTTGTTTCTGTTTCAACTGACGGATGGGGTTCCTCTTCATTGCTGCCATTAAGGTCCTCAGATGCTGTAGATTCTGGCGGTTGAGGATTTTCACTGTCAGGTGATTTGGATTTAAAGGAGTAACTGTGAAAGAGTTCTACTGGACAATCCAATAACTCCAATAGTGGACCATCAAGGTCCACAGGATCAGCTTCAGCAATACCGATAGCAGCTTGATTCTCAATGGGTGGACCTTCACAAAGTTTGGATTCCACCTGTGTTTGAGATTCCTCTTGGGATGGTTCACTTAAAGTGTTATGACAATCAAGGCCATTATGTTCTCCATTTTCTTTCTTAGGGCCCATCATCTTCTCGAGTTGATACGCTCTCTGTTCGCTTTTGATTTCAAAGGCCAAATCAGGATGTTCTCCATTCTCCTTAAAGTCTGTCATCTGCTCAGATTCATTGTCTTTCAGGTCTTTCATCTGCCTATCATTCTTAATTTCATAAAACAAATCATTATGTTCTCCATTTTCTCTGTTCAAGTGCCCAAGTTGGTTCTCTTTCTGGTCACTCATTTCAAGCTCACAGTTCAGTTCAGGCATATTCTGCTCTTTGTCTTCTGTGTCCATTTTTTTCTCAAATCCATACTCCTCCTTGTTAAGGTATATTTCATTATCGGGATATGAGAGTTCCAGTTTTGATAATGGCTTCCTTCCCCGTTTTCTCCCTCTAACTTTGACCTTTTTCTCTGTCACTGCCTGTACCAGCTCCAGTCTTGGAAGACCTTGCAACCATCTTTTCTTTTGACCTTTTCTTTTCAAAATTTTGCTCTTAACACATCTAGACAAGTATTCCCTATTGCGGTTCAGAGGGAGACTTACAGAAGTATTTTCCTTGTTAGTGTGATTGCGCCTTAGTGAGTACACAGAGTTATTACCTAAAGAGGTTGATTTGACATTGTATTTGATCTCTGGATCATCACCTATTTCAAACTCATCATCAGACCGAGGCAGTTTTCTCCGTCGTAGCCTTTTTCTCCATTTCCTCCTCTTCAGAGAATCATTATCCGACAGTGCAACACGTTTTCCAGCCTCTCCATCTACAGTTTGCTCTTCTGGAAGGTTCACAAATCCAGCTTCAGTGCAGTTGCAAGAGATGGAGTCTTGAGTGCATGACTCATTTACACAGTTACTTTTTAGTAGTTCTTCACTATATGCCTTCTCCTCTTCCATCTCGTCGAGAACAGCAGCAGTCACAACCTTATCATTCATTAACTCTAAACAATGTGTCTTAAGGGTCAGGAAGTTCCAAAATTCAGGGTCAAAACATAGGCGCTCCTTTAGCATCTGGGAAAAGAAAAAAAAACGAGAAAAAAAACAATCACGCAAAACACAGTTGTAAACAAATCACACAGTTATAATATCGAAATATAGCCCATATCAGATAAAGTTCAACATATATCGCATCACCGCCTCTAACCTGAAGAATATGAAAGCGAACACAGGTCCGGACAGGGTTGTTGTGGGGATGCGGCTCCTGATCAGGATGCATGTAAAGCAGGGAGACAGTTCGGTATGCCTCCAAGCTTCGTTCCTGGCAAAACACAAGAAGGGCACACGCTCGACAGACCTCCAGGTCATGGGGCAGCAGGAAGGCAATTGTCTTGCAAACGAGTGACCGGGTTACAGTGTCAGCCTGCATGTCACACAGCTGCAGGGCCCTGGCGCAAAGCTCCACGCAAACTTGAATTCCATCACCACCCAGCTATTCAAAAGGAAATAAACACAGATGAATAAATCTGATTAAAACAGATATAAGAATCAAATCAAAAGGAAAAAAATATTCAATTGCCAATTGCAAATGTCTGCAGTACTTACATTTTTAACAGTTTAACCAAAGCATTTAACTAATATTTAACAGTATTAAAAACATAACTTTAAACAGTTTCTGTACACTATAGACAGTGTACAGAAACTGTTACGATTTAACAGGGCGACAAAAGATGATGCTGCAATGACATCTCACCTCTGTAGTGACCAATTTTATGAAGGGGAAGATGGCTCTGACATTGGTAGCAGAGGAGGCCAGCTGCAAGCACTCAGCTAAGAAGCCTTGTCTGGAGGGATGGGCCCTAAGATACAGTCTGCTCCAGATAAACACCAGGTCCCTGCATAAAGACATATACATCTAGTTCAGGTATGATTTTAATCAGGCAACAACTATGATATTAAGTTAACAAAACAGAGAGATGCTAAAGCATTTAAAATAATTAAATAAAGTCATGCACTGTAATGCAACTCACATTACTGCCATATTCAAAGATATGCCCTATACCCAACCCTGCATAATCTGGCTGAAGAAACTGACAGGAGAGAGACACACCATTGTAGTAAAATTGCTATTTCTTTCACTCTATAGTCAATAACCTCCTGCCCAAAAAGTAAAAATATGTTTAAAATATTTCTACTTTTTGCTGTGGCACACCAAAATGTATAATCAAATCCCTTACATTTACTAAAAAAAAAGTTCTGTCAAAGGAACTCTCTTAAGAACTCTAAGACTTCTATAACGGAGATGTTGAGAGGGACAGTCAATAAAAAGTTTTTAATAAATGTAAAGCTTTAAGATTTTCCCCCTCACAAGCGCTCCAGAGCTTTTTAGTGCCAGATACAAGGAGACTGGTCAAAAATAAGGAAAGAATAAACAAAGCTAAATTCAGAAAGGGGGCTGGAAAAAAAGACCTGCACAAGAGACCTTAAGCATGCAGTCAAGACAACAGTGCAAGCTTTACTTTCAGTACAAGTTTGATTGTCCTTGAGTGTAACAGAAACCTGAGACATGGTCCCATAGAACATATGTTAAAAGACCCAAAGATGGCAGTTTACGGATGGTACCCATCCAATCTGACAGATCATGGAAGGATCTGCAAAAAGGAATGGGATAAACTACTGAAATCTGGCCTGATAAGCCTATAGAGGGTCTGAATATTTGCTGAATCCTTTATATGAGGTCACACTTACCAGATGTAATACATGTCTCCATTGTGTAGCTGCTGTGTAAGAAAAGCTTTACACAGTGATAACAACAGCTCATCTTTTTCAACACTCTCTGTATTGCAGATTATCTCCACTGCATCACGACCATCTATCTCTGCCATCTAAGGAAGAAGTTAAGAAAATACACATATACATTTATTTATTATAAAACATGTATTATAGTTAATGTATGGCATTCACAAAGCTTTTCATTTGCAAAATGGTCACCTATTATATGTGATACAGTTACATCATATTTACTAATATACTATCCGGTTGTTCAGTCTGACGTCACTAGCCGTGTCTGGACCTAAACTCCGCTGCAGGTCCATATATCAAACGATCACTATGGCATTACTGAGAGTAGAAAAACTGTCTAAAGTCTTTCATCTTTAAGAAAATGATCAGCGTTCTGCTCTACCAGGTGTAACAATTGAGTTTAACATCCAGGCATCTATGAAAACGGAATTTATGACATTTAACGGAGTTAGAAGTTAGCAGGGAGTTAGCTCGCTAGCTTCTATCTAAATACAATATAGCATGTCCTGACTGCGGGGTTTTGGAAACAAATTAAACCGTACAGCTCTGTTATCACTTCCAGCATAAATGAAGACAGAAAACTAAACAGCAGTGACGTTTGTAGGGTTACTGAAGTTGGGCTAGCTGGTATATAATGATGTGCTACGTGACCGCTAGCGACACAGCTATGTTAGCATAATATAAACAAGCGAACTTTTTTTTCCACTCAATAAAAGTTAACGTGAGTGTTCTCGGTGGTCAGGAACAAATGTAATCGCATGGCAGGATGCTGTAAAAGGACCAAACTTCAGCCAGGAGAACAACTGAGATAATCCATCCACAATACGAGGTTAGTCATTCATATACTGCTGCATGGGCTGGGCTGTAGTTACATCCTAAGGTTTTAAAAACTGAGCTTAAATAAATGATTAGCGGTAATAAAAGCCGAGGGAGGTCAACAGGGATCACTGACTGTTTTAGGAGCTTTTTGAGATCAAATAGAAGAAAATACATAACATTAAACATGTTAACAACACAAAAGCCATATTAAACGCAGACTACTTAAGGCCCGGAAGTAGGATTTGTCGCGTCATCACTGAACAACCGGATAGCCTTAACTATTTTCCTGTTTTGGGTTGATTTGAACATAGACTTTAAATACATAGTAGATCAACAAATAAATAAGACTAAATAATGCATTTTTCCCCCCTTTCTTATTCATCCATGTCCATTTTTAGAAACGCCTATCACTAATTCTTTCAAGGTTACTTGTTCTGCTCTTCAATTCTCACCTCCTTGTAAAGGTTTTCATGCAGCGAGGCTTTGTAGAGGCAGGTCAAGTAGGCCTGATGGAAGTATAGATGCTTTCCAGCCTCACGATTTTCCAGGCAGCTTTTAGCAAGAGCCATTGCCTCCTGCATTCGTTCACAGGCCTGCAGATATCGCACTCGCAGCTCCAAGAACACTGGCAATTCTGAGCTCACGTAGTCCTCAACTGCATAGAAGGTAATTACATGTGTTAATGTAAATCTCATGGGATGGGTATTAATATGAACTAACTGCTGAAAATAAAGTCATTGCCTATATTTATATATAAGCAATGACAGTGCAATGTATTATTAAAAACGTGATGATAGATATAATGGTGTGTTGAGGAGGAAATGTGGTTGCTTGGGGGTGGGGGCGGGGGGGGATGATCATGACAGAAGATGACTGAAACATTTGGTAGTTTAGTAAAAAAATTTGTTTAATAATGAGTGTATCAGGGTAAGAAGGGGTTGAAATGGGGTTTCTTCAAGAGGCCAGGTCAAGTTTCAGTGATATTACATGCCATTTTCTTATCGTATTCCAAGATGACATACCAAGATTCATCCCACTTAATTTCTTAAAAAGTGATTGCATGAAAAATGACTCCATGCATGAAAAATGATTTTTATACATGGAGTGGTCATCACAGAGCCAGAGAATAACCCTGATGTAATCTTTGGAAGATTTTATGCAGTGGTCCTTTACCATCAATACAAGATCTGGGCAAAAAACTTAATGCAACTCTGTAAATGTGGTGACATTGCCCAAGCTTATTTGAAACTTTATCACAACTTATGTGTGCCTCATCAAATCTAAAGGCAATGCAATGAAATATAAGCATGTATGACTTCTTATTTTGGACAGGCATTGTATTATTTCCTATATGTCACATATGCCTACCGTCGTTTGGTGGCAAATCATCCTCCTTCAGGATTCCCTGTAACACAGGATTTTCCCATGGGCCTCCTACTTTAATAATCTGCTTTACATGCTGAAGGTAGATGTTCCTGTGCCTCATGAGGCGAGTGTGGCAAATCTGCAGAGAAGACGTTCATTCAAAATCTTAATGTTATAGAAGGAAGCTGAGTTAGTCACTATTTTCAATCATAAAACATTGGTGCAAGAAGAAACTGGCAGCAGTTTTGAGACAAGTATTGTTACCTTTAGTTTAAAACTCAGCACCTGTAAAAACACCTGGCTTTTACAAAATTGTACTGTGAATTGACAGTAGGTCAGTTGTTAATCACCTGAAAAGAGTCAAGGATGTCTTTTAAAGGCTCTTCCACAAATTCTTCCTTGCTGAAAAACAGCATGAGTTCAAAGAAGCTCCTGCAAGACAATGACAGAGACATTAGAAAAATATCTCACACCAAGGTGACAACCACCAGAACATGAATGCCTTACAAGTGCTAGTTTTAAAGGAGAGGTGATCAACTCAAAATTGTGCTGCTCATTACCAAATGATTCAAGTTAAAACAATATGTGTCTTTTTCTATTTCAAAGACAGGCAGCAAATACAACTCTGCTATTCCTTTTGGACACGGAGCTCCAGCTCTTCCCAACAGATAAAAAAGGGTTCCATGAATTTATGGTTCACCTCTATTTAAGCTACAGCCTTTAAATTTTATCTGAAAGCATCAACAAACACTGATTTACAGAAAATGTTCTGTACTATTTTCAACACTGATTTATCACAGTAACTGTCTCACAGTTTTGTTTTAGAAATAACATTTTATGTCGTGTCTCTGCTAGGCAATTAAGAATTTTCGAACCAAATACGTAGGTTCAGCTATTCAAATAAATTTATTTACAATCAATACAGCACATTAAAACAGCTTCCAGTGAACATTGCACTTACAAGGCCAAACTGCTGAGAACATACTGGATGTGCTGACAGTCATCTGTAAAGGCAGTGGTGGCTTTGGTAAAATTGTAGAGTGCGGTCCGCAGCACCTTCAGTTGCGGGAGAGGAACTTGCCATTGCCCTGTGTACTCCTCAACAAGCTGTCCAGGAATGAAACAGAAATGTGAAAGACTTAAATGAATCCTATGCATGACAGCTAAAAGCTGTATGTTTTTCATCCCACATCTAACACAGTTTACAACAGAAAGGTTTACGCTGCCAAAAGTTAAAAACAAGTAATATATAGAAAATAGTGATTTGATATGAAATGGTGGAACTCATTATCCATCCACACTGCACATCAGAGTACTAATGTTTTAACAATACACTACGATCAAAACCAAGAAGAATTCTAACTGAAATTGTTTGGATAATAAAGACAGCTGGTGGATGTGCTGTGTGAATATGAACACAAATTGGATCTTAGAACCAAAGTATAAGAACGTAAATAAGACACACTGTAACACAATCAAATAGAAATGTTCATTAGAATGCACATTTCTATTTGACATCTCCATTAGACATTTATTGTATGGATGTCTAACACATTTGTTAGACCATCACCCAATCTAAGGTTTGTGCCACAGCTCTCATAACTTAACAGTATTCATAATTATCAAAAAAAAATGTTTCTGTAATGGTTAATCCACAAGTATGGCCAAACTCTTTAATTGAAATGATATTTTGTAATGATAAAATATAACTACTGTTATCCTTGAATTTTCAAATTTAGCTTGTTGGTCCAGTGAACCACTAGTGCACCTGAATCAAACAGGCTCTCCTCCACACAGTGCTCATTTATAAAGCACAAGCCCAAACAGGTGGATTTTCCTGGTTCAGTGCAGCTAGCCAACAACAAAGAACCACTAAGTGGGAAATGGAGAGTGAAAATGAACAGTATATCCATGTTTTGTTTTTAAAATAAAAGTCATTGCTACAAACATAGGCAACAGTGACCCTCATACACTGCTTTATAGTTTGTACAAGGTTATTAATTCTGTCTCTAGTTAGCTAACATATAGGCACAAGTGGTTCTACAGATGATCTAAAAACTGAAACTTTAAACACTTATTTCCTAAATCCGCTTTCAAAATAGTGTTAAATCTATGACCGTTTGTAGAGTGGGATTCCATGGTGTAAATTAGCCTTAATACGTTTAGTGTTTCATGTCCACTTTAAAACACAGTTTTAGATTACTCATTTCGCAGACACTATAAACTTGAATTCCTTATTTATTTTCTTTGTTTTAACCATGTGTATTAATTTCAGTTATACATCATACACCTTTGAGTATAGGTACCATGTGGTAGTTACAGTGTGCCATTTTATTGAGGGATGTTTCTTTTATCCTAAATGTGAAGCATTTTCGCAACTGCGTGTTTGTAAGTATAAGTGCTATAATAGTAAAGTTAATCAACTTTATTAAATTGTAAACTTTAAGTACAGCTACTGGTGGAACTTATGGATTAATTTACGCAATTAAAGCTCCATGCTCTAGGATAGTTAAAAGCCAATTCATCCGACTAGCTATCCAAACGTTTGGCTCCCAGATAAACGCATTCCAAGTGTGTATATGTAAAACAGAGTACTGTTATTCTGGATAGTGAAACAATTCAGTTGCGATTTGGCGGTCAGCTCTGGTATTTCTTCACTTCGAGGGCACCTTGCATTGTGAAAGGAAACCACGCTCCTGCTTTTCCCTAAAAAATAACTTACCATTTGTCAGTACGTACGTCTTTTTGCATTTTTATCAGCTGATGTCAACTCTAGGCAGCAAGGGTAGAAACTGCTCCATTTCCCTCGTTCATCAAACCTTGTTAAGCCCACAACGTTAATTAGCTTAGCTTTACTATCTAGCTATAAAGCTAACGTCAAACAAAAACAAACAAACACTAATACAAAAATAAGACACCCAAAAAGTCCAGTTCGTACCTGTAAACTCTGACTAACTAATTCTGCTCTGTCTCTGATGTGCTATGCCTCCGCCTTATACACATAACTGCATAAAAAGAGCTGCTCAGGGGCTAGCATTAGCTCTCAAAGCTAGCATCGTTAGCGATAAACAAACGCCGACTCCGTAAATCACAGGATATAAATTCACCCGACATACCTCACAAAACTCAGAGCAATACTCTTTGCTCTTCAGTGACGATTCGCCGCTGCAGTGTTTAGCACACAACGTGTCCAGAGCTAATTCAAGCCCGTCTGTTTCCAAATCACTTTCGTTGTCCGCCATACTGTCTGCCGTATCCAGCGCATACTCAAAGTTGCCAGGTTGGTAAGAAAGCGTCCTCCGATTCCTCACGACAGGATACTAACTACTTGGCAACCGCGCAATTATCCTTGTCACTAACCCTTGTCACTACCCGATCCGTACCGGAAACCCGATCGGTACCCCGCATGCGGGTAGTGACAACCCTTGTACGTTCCTTGTACGGCTGTTGCCAATAGGAAATCCGGTATGAAAGATGGTACCCACTATGACTTAAAATAGTATTAAATAGCTATTCACTTGTAATAGGGGACTTTGCATAAATCAGTATTTCTTATATAATATATATTACATGTCAGACTCATCCAAAAAAAAAA